TGCGGATCTTTGACTATTTAATCTGTTCCTTAAAATTTTATTAATAACAATGTTCAATATATGATTTTCAACAAAATACAGATGTAACACCTATCCAGTTTCTGAATGATGATAAAAAATCTTGTTTCTACCAGCAGCTGGGGGAGACTAGATTAGAAGATGGTTCAGAAAACCTGACAGGACACATTTTTTTCTAACACTAAGAATCAAACAAATGCTGATTTCTATTTCAGCAAATTATTCTTAAAATTTTTTTAAATAATTTGAATAAATGTTTTGATAAAGATTTGAGATTCCTTTCACTGAATGAATGGTCACAAAGCTAGTGTTAAGCTTGAAGTAAATCAAATGGAATGCCCCCCTCCCTTTAAGTTCTTTCTGCAGCCGGGTCTGGCTAACGTTCATGTTGATCCTACATCTGCAGCAGGAAAAGGCTCAGATACGTGAGAAACCCGGAGGGTTGGCAGTTACCGTTACAAACTACACCTTTGAAACACATAGCAGCTAGTTAAAAGAACATTACATGCGTCAGTGGTTGTCAGCACTAGCGGTTAGAAGTTGCTAAACTAGCAGTTGTCAGAGCTCGTCTGAACACAGCTTACCTTGGTGCGTATCACTGTGTTCCCAGTGTTTGCTGGCTTTATGAGCTGCAGCTCCTGAACCCATCCATTGGTGAACTGCACATGAGACTCCAAGGACTTGTAGCTTCTGTATTGTTCTGAGGTATATGCGCTTACTCCACAAACAAGGTAGCCGAAGACGTCCGAGAAGGAGAACAGTGGCAACAACTCGTCGTCGGTGCTCCACTCATTATTTGGAACCTCTTACGGATCCAAATTATTTATGATGCTGATTTTGTCAACATACCGGTCCCTGGCTTCTCTATTAAGTGTATCCCGGTAAATTCCGGATCCTTTTTGGGACTTCAACATCGTTCTTCTCTTCTGCTTTTCCTCGTGCAAATACGTTATGTCGGCGCTATGAAATTGTTAGCGTAGCCGTCAACATGGCAACCACGTCCCAGAATGCAAAGCGGATCCCGAGCCCTATTCCCATAGATATCCATAATAAAGGCCTTTATTATGGATATCTATGCCTATTCCCACACATTATAATCAAATACGGAGGCGTTCAACAGGGGGTCCGTGACCCCTAGAGGGTCCTTAGAGGTACTGCATGGGGGTCGCCAAAGTTTTGGTTGATTTGACTTTTTTTATATATATTTCCCCTCTGCAATTTTTTTCCCACTAATTGAACCTGTGATCATCAATCTCTATAACGCCTCCCTCGAGTGATTCAGACAGACCCCCTCTGTAATTGACATTTATGCACTATTTTTGCACGTCACTATCACTTTACTTGGATTTAGTTTTACATATGCATATATATATATATATATATATATATATATATATATATATATATATATATATATCCTAATTTCATTGGAATCTTTAAAGTTTTACATTTTTTCTATTGTAAACGTTACAAGGTGCAAAACAAGGAAAGCGAAAATGGTACATGTACCATAAACAGGGTACAAGAGACAATAAAGATACGTTCTCAGAGTAAAAAAAAAAACACCTGCTACAATAAGATTCAAAACAATAAAAACAAAGGGCAATCTCAAATTAAATCAAATTGTTCCAACATTGCTGATAATTTGATCCATACTTAGTTTTAACCAGTCTCAGAGACCTAGAATATACACTATATTGCCAAAAGTATTTGCTCACCCATCCAAATTATTGGAATCAGGTGTTCCAATCACTTCCATGGCCACAGGTGTATAAATTCAAGCACCTAGGCATGCAGACTGTTTTTACAAACATTTGTGAAAGAATGGGTCGCTCTCAGGAGCTCAGTGAATTCCAGCGTGGAACTGTGATAGGATGCCACCTGTGCAACAAATCCAGTCGTGAAATTTCCTCGCTCCTAAATATTCCACAGTCAACTGTCAGCTGTATTATAAGAAAATGGAAGTGTTTGGGAACGACAGCAACTCAGCCACGAAGTGGTAGGCCACGTAAACTGACGGAGCGGGGTCAGCGGATGCTGACGCGCATAGTGCGAAGAGGTCGCCAACTTTCTGCAGAGTCAATCACTACAGACCTCCAAACTTCATGTGGCCTTCAGATTAGCTCAAGAACAGTGCGCAGAGAGCTTCATGGAATGGGTTTTCATGGTCGAGCAGCTGCATCCAAGCCATACATCACCAAGTGCAATGCAAAGCGTCGGATGCGGTGGTGTAAAGCACGCCGCCACTGGACTCTAGAGCAGTGGAGACGCGTTCTCTGGAGTGACGAATCGCGCTTCTCCATCTGGCAATCTGATGGACGGGTCTGGGTTTGGCGGTTGCCAGGAGAACGGTACTTGTCTGACTGCATTGTGCCAAGTGTAAAGTTTGGTGGAGGGGGGATTATGGTGTGGGGTTGTTTTTCAGGAGCTGGGCTTGGCCCCTTAGTTCCAGTGAAAGGAACTCTGAATGCTTCAGCATACCAAGACATTTTGGACAATTCCATGCTCCCAACTTTGTGGGAACAGTTTGGAGCTGGCCCCTTCCTCTTCCAACATGACTGTGCACCAGTGCACAAAGCAAGGTCCATAAAGACATGGATGACAGAGTCTGGTGTGGATGAACTTGACTGGCCTGCACAGAGTCCTGACCTCAACCCGATAGAACACCTTTGGGATGAATTAGAGCGGAGACTGAGAGCCAGGCCTTCTCGTCCAACATCAGTGTGCGACCTCACAAATGCGCTTCTGGAAGAATGGTCAAAAATTCCCATAAACACACTCCTAAACCTTGTGGACAGCCTTCCCAGAAGAGTTGAAGCTGTTCTAGCTGCAAAGGGTGGACCGACGTCATATTGAACCCTATGGATTAGGAACGGGATGTCACTTAAGCTCATATGTGAGTCAAGGCAGGTGAGCAAATACTTTTGGCAATATAGTGTAAGTCAAAACCATTTTTCCAATGACAAAAAGTGGGTATCGTTTTAAAATACCCACATCTGTGAATAAAATTTTTCCTATCAATCTAAGAAAGTTTCCTAAATGGAAAGCAAATTCTCTTTGCTTTCTAAACCAAATGATGTAGTTGTGCAAAATGTTTCAGAGTGATGTCAAAAACTCTTTATTTGGATATATTTAGTTAATTATGTTGAATTGCACCTCTTCACCCTTATATCACTAGTTCCTGTTTTAATAATATGCTCTGTTGAAAAGTGTTTTAAAATGTTAAGATGTTAAAATCGTCTTTAATAGTAAATTGATCGTATAGTTAATGAATATATGGATAGGTTAGAAAAGGTAATAAACCTGATAAATAAAAGGGACAGAAGGAGGATTTAGTTTATTAAATTAAGAAGAAAAAAGAAGTTTAGGATATTAAAAAATAATATCCTAAACTGCCAAAATAATAAATTAGGATATAAAGTTAAATATATATGCTAGAATACCGTCATTTTGTTTCACAATGCGTACCAGTAGGTGGCGGTAATGCGCATTAAAATTGTTGCCAAACGCCATTATAGAAGAATCTACCATAATATGAAAGGCGAAGAAGAAGACCGTAACGTGTTGGCGCGTGTTTTGAAGCTGCTTGTGGAGAGATGTCCTGGGCCGTGAGTAGTGAGGAAACAGGAAGCGATTCTTGTGGGATGGAAGATGGAAATAGTGACAATGAAGGTTGGAAGATAGCAACATCAAAAAATGAGAAAAAGCGGAAAAAACAGAGATCAGTTAAAGGGGAATCTAGTTCAGAACAATCCAGTGATGAGCAATCCATACATTCCACAGCACAACGAAATGAATTCAAAGTCATATTCAAAGTCGTTAATCAGGCAGACTCTTTTACAAATTGGAATCCGGTTCACTTAACAAAAACCATCAATAAACTTGTTGGAGAAGTCAGAGGTGCCAGAATTCTGTACAGTGGAGACCTGCTAATTAACTGCAGAGACAGCGCCCAGCAAGGCAAAGCAATACGAATCAACAAAATTGACGGGATAAGAGTTCAGTGCAGCTTAATGGAGAACAAAAAGATCAGCAGGGGAGTCATTGGAGGAGTTCCTCTAAATATTTCTGAAAAAGAGATTCTGGAAAACATAAGCGGTGCAAAAGTAAAAGAAGTAAAACGGTTAAAAACAACAAGAAACGGAGAAAGATCTGACAGTTTATCAGTATTAATTAAATTTGAAGAAGAGCAATTACCAAGCAAAGTATTCATCGGTTACATCAGCTATAATGTTAAAATCTACAATCCTCCACCACTGAGATGTTTCAAATGCCAAAAATTCGGTCACATTGCAGCAGTTTGTAAAGGGAAACGGAGGTGTGGAAGGTGTGCAGGAGAACACGAATATGGTAAATGTGGAAAAGAAGCTAAAATAAAATGCTGTAATTGTGGTGGAGAACATACTGCTGCTTATCGCGGTTGTGAAGCAAGCAAAAGGTCTGAGGAAATAAAAAAAATGAAATTTGAGCTCGGAATAACCTATGCTGAAGCTGCAAAAAGGTTCCCATCTCAGTCAGAAAAACCCAAACCTACAGTTCAACACACGGCAAATTTCAGACCTCTAGAGAAATCTCCAAAAATTGATGAAGACTCACTAATTGTTAAAAAGACAAATTTTGTTCTTTTCATGGTGGAAGTGATTAATTGTACTGCACAGACAACAAAAAAAACTGAAAAAATCAAAATAATAGTGAAGGCTGCAGAAAAATATCTGGACATTAAAGATTTGAACTGGGAGATGGTTGGAAGCATGATGGGAGGACCGATGGGACCATCAGAAACTGGCAAAGTTACGATGACCTAGAGTTAAATTAAAATTATATGGGCAAATGTGATTTAGTATTATGTTGGTTTATGTTACACAGGTTTTTTTTTTTTTTTTTTGGGGTGAATCGTTTCCTGTTTTCTTGCTTTACTCCATATCAGTTGGTGGCGGTAATGCACATTTCACAAGTTTGCCAACCGCCATAAAATCTCATAAGAAGAAGAAGAAGAAGACCGTAACGTCACCGCAGCACCGGAAGTTTTTGTTAGCAGAGGAAGATAAAAGCTACCAAGAGTTTTCTTTCTGTATTTACAGTTAATACATCGGAGACATGGTTTGTGAAAAATGTAGGTTTATTTTACTCATCTATTTTTGATCTTGTATATATTTGATGCTAACGATGGTTAGTTCTGTCAACGAAGCTTATGTCAAGGCCGAGACCCGTTATGTAAAGCTAATATTCAGTTTTATTCTTTTTTAGAGACGTTTTGACTGCTTTCCCGTTCGTTTTATTTGATATATTTCGGGGTTTTCAGGTGAGAAGAAGCTTGGCAGAGTGATCACTCCGGACACCTGGAAGGATGGAGCCCGGAACACAACAGGTGAACCTTCAACATGGAAAAATAATAACAGAAAAAGTTTATTTTTCCTGTAAATAGAAGAAAAACATAACAGGAGCATAAACTGAATTTTACAAGAGTTATTTGGATAGAATAAGCTGTTTAAATACCTCTCAATTGTCACAACCTTGAAATGACTGGAAGCAGTAAAGTTGACTCAAGAATAGAATAGAATAGAAACTGCCTTTATTGTCCCCTAATGGGGAAATTCTGTTGTTTACAGCAGCAAAAAGATGATAGAAAAAATGAATTAAAATCATAATAATGAAGAATTAAAAGATAAAAAAAATTTAATACTGTACTGTATAGTGTTTTAACAATATAAATATTGTGCACCTGGGGAATAAATAACCATGAAACAGCTATGGACATTTGTACAATAATGGAAATTTGAAAATAGCAGCTACATCAAGGATGTGCAAAATGACAGCAGCATGTTATTTAACTGACTAAGGTAGAAAGTATCTTTATTTAGATAAGAATTACCCTTTAGGTCTGTAGATTCTGAATAAGAAACATAGCGGTGATGCCATCATACTGTGAGACCTTTTGTTTTTATATAAAGAGACTGGTTAGAGTTTAGGGGAAGGTAGGTGGAGCAGTTTAAATGTAAAGCTTTAAAGTTTAATCTCTGTGTTTGCATCATATGTTTTGTTTATTCTGATTTAACTATACCAGCTCTGATTTGCATTTTATTCACTGACAACATTCTGCAGCATTAGATATTTGTGACAAATGAGCCTCTCTCTCGTTCTTTGTCATGTTTTTTATTTTGTCTAGAAAGTGGAGGGCGCAAGTTAAATGAAAACAAGATGCTGACATCTAAAAAAGCCAGGTTAGTATTACGAGATAAATGATTTAAAAAAATGAAAATTACGGCATCTCAACCTTCAAAACACTATTGCATTTGGGTTTGGATTGTTTTTTGTTGTTGTTTTTTTCAGGTTTGACCCTTACAGCAAGACGGGCTTTGCTATCTGCAGGATCTGCAAGAGCTCAGTTCATCAGCCTGGATCTCACTACTGCCAGGGCTGCGCTTACAAGAAAGGTATTTTCTATAATTCCTCCATATTTTGCCACTTATCCTTCAGGGTCATGGGGAAAAGACCCACGCAGAAAGACCCTAGGCCAGTAATCAAACCCAGGAACTTCTTGCAACCCCCTTTTAATTCATTGTGCAGTGCTGGATAAAATTTCCACTTGGCAGACTGCAGATAAATGTGTTTCTTTTCTTCTTACGTTTGAAACGAAAAAGAGAAACGCAATACTGAGCCAAATTGTGCGAAGAGGGAAATTGACATAACGTTGCATTTGCTTAGGTGATTGGCTTCATTTTATGTAGAATTGATTCTTGAAGGGGTACAGCTGAAAAGTGTTTGTTTTACCTGAACTAAATAACCCTTTGAATCATTTTCCAGAGTTATTACCTGAAGTTGCAGATCTGAAAGGTCAAGTAAATAATTTCCTGATATTTGTTTTCTTTTTTCCTGGCTCCAACCAAATTAGTAACTTCAAGTCATGTAAAAATGTAATCGATTTGTCCACACTTGCAATCTTTAAAGAGCCAACTATTTCAAGAAAGGCCAGGCAATAAAACTAAGACTGTAGAAACCTGATCAATATCGGTAGAAAATAAATAAGAATATCCGATCATTTCACTAAACCCTGATCAAGAAACATGCAGGAATGTAGGACGTCAGGAAGTATTTAGCCTCCTAACCTCTCTGGACCAAGCTAAGCGAGGTTGGCTGACCTCTTTTCAAAGTATAAAGTTATGTTGAATAGTTTGACATTTAAATTCTGCCTTATTCTCCTGGTTCTTTTTTTGTTTAAATCAACAATTATTAATATCCACTGATATAAAAGGCTTTTATTTTGATACATTATCAGCCACATTGCACTAATTTAATAGGTAACATTTCTTTTTTATAGATGCATGACAGGTTGCCTGACTGAGCAGCAGGTTATGCTTTTTTTGTGTGTTTTCTATCATCCCTGGTTCAGGGGTGCCTCTAAAGATTGCAACAGCTGTGGCCTACGTGCTTATAGGGTAAAATCCTGCACTGTAAATAAACAAAAGATGCTCAAACTGAATCCAGGGCTGTTCTGATTGGTCTGTTTAAATGGTGTGTGTTGGCTGCTGCCAGCTCTGTAAAGTATTTGAGTTGAGTGATGAAATGCAAACAGCGGTACATCTCAAAGCGGGGCCAAATTACGTTGCAGTTTCTAAGTACAATGTATACAAATGAAGAGCGGGTCTAAGTACATTCATATTTTGGGTCTAAGTAAGTCGTATTTTTAGAATTTGTGTTATAGCTCTGTCACCTTCCCCCCAAAAATCTGTTTTTTTTTTTGTTTTCTGCCCCCTATGTGCACTATTTTGAATATAAATCAGTAGATGCGTTTAAAATAAAAAACATTTCCAGCTCTTCCTACTGTGTAGAGAAAAAAACATTTATCAAAAAACAAATGCTTCTGTTACCCCACATCAACATTTACACCCACTTTCTACAACTCCAGCTAGAAAATAGAGTAATCTACAGACATGCTCACAGTTTTACCATTTCCTCAACCACAAAAATATACTTTTTGGGCTACTTTTATCTGCTTTAACAACAGATAACATAAGCTTTTTGTTAATGTCTTAACTTCTCTGGGTCACCGGCGCATTGTTTTGTTTATTTACATCAAACACAGCAGTATACTTGAGAATAACACCAGTTAAACTTTTATCAAATTAGACATGTAATACATCTTAAGAAAGCTTAGATTCTCCACATTTCAACTGCCAAGTTGAATAAAAAATTAAAGAAACCATGAGCTCCAAAGCACAATTAATAAGATATAGCAGCATGTTAAATATGAATTTTTAAAGTAAAGCTTTGTCGTCATACTTTGAAGCGATCCTGAGGTCGTACTATAAATCCAATCTTAGATTGTTTATATTCCATTTGTCTGTAAAGGTCTACGGATAAAAAGTAATCCAGCATACATTCCATGAGGAGAAAATCATTGTGATCAGAGAAGTTCGATCCCTATAGCTAATGCTAACCGTCTTGCTAATTCCCCTAGCTTCCACAAACTTTTCCGGTTGATTTTTGGTATGTTTGTTTTCCTCACCTTCTAACATAAATATAAAATTGTCCCTGTCAATTACATTTTGAGATATGACGCCAAGACAGTCTTTGCAGCGTCAAAGCATTCCCTCTCAGCAGCCATCTTTACGCGTGTTCCCCTTATATTATTCCTCATAAAGTCCGACTGCTATTAAGTCCACATGCAATGTTTGGCTCTATAACCAATAAAATTGGCTAATTTGGCTAATTTGAATTATGCATCCCGGACATATATAGCGGCACATTAGTGACTGGATCGTTGCACACTATTAGATAATTAGATGGAAAGTTAGAAAAATGAAAAAAATATTTGCTTCAAAAAGGTTTTGTGGCCTTCAAAATGCTCCAGTGGGATTGTTGGGGTAAAATTGTTGTGTTAAAGCAATAAGCACAATTTGGCATTATCTGGCGCATTTGCAGAGGTTTGGAGATGCTGGTGAAACCAGAGGTTAAAAGTCCCGTAGCTGTTGACCCGTCATACCTAAAGATCTGAAATTTTCAGCAGTTGTTGATGTTAACACGATGTAGAATGTAAATGTAAAACAAAGACACATATCTATTTTCAAACATGTCTTTGTTACTGCTATTCAAATAAACCCTATAATTTTCTAGAATTAAAAAACCCAATTATGAGTCATGTTTTAACTGCTGTAGTTTAGGCTGTGTTTTAGTCACACTATTTTAATTTATATTTTTAGAAGCTAAAAGGTGTTAGCTTTCAAATGGTGCAAAATGCACAAAATTTGAGCTTACAGTTCCTTAGTTATTTGCTTTTCTATTTGGCTATGCAAAAAGGCGAGGATTACTTAAAACTAGGTGGATGTTAAGAAAAAAAATGGAGGGTAAATGATAAGTAAAAATCTAGTACATGGTTTACAAATACATGTCATACTCTTCACTTTTTAACTTCTAGAAAAAAAAACTGAACACCATGTCTCATTTCCCTTCTTTTTCTCAGTCATCTACAGCTTTATGATTACCTTTTTTCATCTATTATGTGGGGGAAAAATCACAAAGCTTTAAATATTCACCACAATCTATGGCAATAATAATAACAGGTTTAATCTGTTTTTCCCTTTTTATCTGCAGGAATCTGTGCGATGTGTGGAAAGAAGGTTCTGGAAACCAAGAACTACAAGCAGACGTCAGTGTGATGCGTTGCTGGTTTGCATGAGTGCAGGAAGAGAAAAAATAGACTGAGAAAGAGGCATCAGAAGTGACACCGTTCTCTTTATTTCGGATTATTGTATCACATCACTGGAAATGTTCCATTCACATGCAGACAGCGCCAGCTCCAAACAGATCACCTGACTCTAAAATAATGGATGCTGAAGATTTTTGTCCGATTTGTAAATCCAGTACCTAAACTAACTTTTCTTCCTTTTTTAGTTTTATGTGCATGTAATATATTGTGTTAAACTTGAGTGAAATAAAGTTGCCAGTTTGGCAAAATGGTTTGTTTCCCTCCAGCCATAACGGAGTATAATTTTAGCCTCTTACGCAAGCAAAGACAAATTTCCTCTTTGTGTCGTAATAATTGGTTTACTCTGATATAATCATATTTTGAAACTGCCTGCCTCAATGTCAGCTGTGACCCTTCTCAATCCCCAACATGGAGGTTGTAGTTCATAGCGTTCCCTCTTTGATATTTAAAGGGCTAACTCTGCCTCAGGCCTAGGAATACATGGACACACTAATATTTTAATGTTTCAAGGTTTGTCATGTTTTTACGAGCATGGTCAAGGCTCTACCGAAGATGGGTAATATAATGTACAGTGTAGCAATGTGTGATTAATGTTACTAAAACATTTAAGCTCATTTGCAATAACAAGGTTTCTACACAGTAGTGAATTGAATTAACTCACATTCAGTTAATTAAAAGGTAGTAAAATTTCACTATATTCTGACTTTTCCACTAATGCTGACTTGTTTCAAGTTCATGTATAAAAATGATAACTATATACAGCAGGACCTGAGCTGATGCTGATTAAAATTTATTGTTTCCAATGGATGATCTGCTTTTCTCAATGTGAGGCGTTGAAATCACATAATATATAGAAACTAGAGCCATTTTGCTTCTTGCCTCTTATTGTAAAAGTTAAATAATTTGAACCGCAATTATTTGATGAAACTGATTGTCTTAAAAACCTCTATTTTATTAACTAAGACTTTTAAGTTGAATAGAATAATCCAGTTAAGTACATCTAATATTTTTGTTATAGCATCATGGGTATATATTAATGAACCGTTTTATTCTGTCCTTATAATTCAGGCATAAGATTTCTGTATTCAATTGAATTTCTTATATAGAGCTCAATTAAGTTAATTGGATTTATTACTACTTAGCCTCTAACAACAGCAGCACTTCAAATTTTTTTTAAATCATAATGTAAGATATACAGGTGCTGGTCATAAAATTAGAATATCATGAAAAAGTAGATTGATTTCAGTAATTCCATTTAAAAAGTGAAACTTGTATATTATATTCATACATTACATACAAACTCATATATTTCAGATGTTTATTTTGTTTAATTTTGATGATTACAAATGACAACAAATGAAAATCTCAAATTCATCATATCAGAAAATTAGAATATTACTGAAGACCAATAAAAACAAAGGATTTATAGAAATGTTGGCCAACTGAAAAGTATGAACATGAAAAGTATGAGCATGTACAGCACTCAGTATTTAGTTGGGCCTCCTTTGGCCTGTATTACTGCAGCAATGCGGCGTGGCATGGAGTCGATCAGTCTGTGGCACTGCTCAGGTGTTATGATAGCCCAGGTTGCTCTAATAGTGGCTTTTAGCTCTTCTGAATTGTTGGGTCTGGTGTATTGCATCTTCTTCTTCACAATACCCCATAGATTTTCTATGGGGTTAAGGTCAGGAGAGTTTGCTGGCCAATTAAGAACAGGGATACCATGGTCCTTCAACCAGGTACTGGTAGCTTTGGCACTGTGTGCAGGTGCCAAGTCCTGTTGGAAAATGAAATCTGCATCTCCAAAAAGTTGGGCCAGCTGCAGGAAGCATGAAGTGCTCTAAAACTTCCTGGTATGTGGCTGCGTTGACCCTGGACCTCAGAAAACACAATGGACCAACACCAGCAGATGACATGGCACCCCAAACCATCACTGACTGTGGAAACTTTACACTGGACTTCAAGCAACGTGGATGAAGTGCCTCTCTTCTTTTCCTCCAGACTCTGGGACCTTGATTTCCAAAGGAAATGCAAAATTTACTTTCATCAGAGAACATGACTTTGGACCACTCACCAGCAGTCCAGTCCTGTTTCTCTTTAGCCCAGGCAAGACGCTTCTGACGCTGTCTGTGGTTCAAGAGTGGCTTGACACAAGGAATGCGACAGCAGAAACCCATGTCTTTCATACGTCTGTGTGTGGTGATTCTTGAAGCACTCACTCCAGCTGCAGTCCACTCTTTGTGAATCTCCCCCACATTTTTGAAGGGGTTTTGTTTCACAATCCTCTCCAGGGTGCGGTTATCTCTCTTGCTTGTACACTTTTTTCGACCACATCTTTTCCTTCCCTTCGCCTCTCTATTAATGTGCTTGGACACTGAGCTCTGTGAACAGCCAGCCTCTTTAGCGATGACCTTTTGTGTCTTGCCCTCCTTGTGCAAGGTGTCGATGGTCGTCTTTTGGACAACTGTCAAGTCAGCAGTCTTCCCCATGATTGTGTAGCCTATAGAACTAGACTGAAAGACCATTTAAAGGCTTTTGCAGGTGGTTTGAGTTAATTAGCTGATTAGAGTGTGGCACCAGGGGCCATCAATTTTGAACCTTTTCACAATATTCTAATTTTCTGATATGATGAATTTGAGATTTTCATTTGTTGTCATTTGTAATCATCAAAATTAAACAAAATAAACATCTGAAATATATGAGTTTGTATGTAATGTATGAATATAATATACAAGTTTCACTTTTTAAATGGAATTACTGAAATCAATCTACTTTTTCATGATATTCTAATTTTATGACCAGCACCTGTATATTCCATTAATCTTTTCTGGTACTATTAAAGATTATCTGAAAGGGCACAAGTTAAACAATCCTCATTAAACCTAATTGCAATCTCACATATGGTGTTGCAACGCTAACCACACCTACTGTCAACTAATCAACTAACAATGGCGTCTAATGTCATTTGCAGAAGTACTTCATTAAAATTAAGTTGTTCCATTGTATGTTCCCTTAAATTATGTTCGATTGATACACCATTAATTCAGACTAATCCGTAGAGTTAAATCTACTAAACAAGAACACATTAGACTACGTCAACACATTTAAGTTAGCAGAGTTTTTCAAAATAATAACTCTTAAGTAGCCTGATAAACCAGACTAAATGTGAGATAAAATGTGTAATTTCGTATGCAAAAATGATTTTGGCCGCTGGGGCTAGTTTACAAGGCTAAGTCTTAAGTACTCAGTTCAGTTAATACTTTAAATGTTTGGGTTTACAGTGCTTGATGACCAGACATACAAAGCCTCGATTTAGCCAGTTATGGAGAATATTCGAGAGGCTTTTGGCAAAACATGCAGAAAAACTATAAATGTTACTATAAAAAGAGTTCTTTTGATCAAATCACACCTTGGTTGCAAAGCAGTATTACTAGTAACAGACTGCAGACCTTTCTGGCACCAACTGAGTGCTCAGAGCTGAGGTTTTCTGGTGCCTGAACATGGCAGCCAAACATTTAAACTGTTCTACTATTAGTAGTGGTATTAAACTTTACATTGAGATCTCTGTATTAACCCTAACACAAAACTAATAGATGAATAAAACCAATTCGTCGGTTAAGTTTACTTTTTAACACCACCTTTCTTTTCTCTGATGGTAAATGCTTAACTGGGAGAAGGTTTCACACGTTTTACCTAGAAATAGTGCAGCATCCAAAAGAAGAATTTACTTATGAAAATAAATATTAAAACAAAATAAAGTGATTTATTATAAACGTTATAATGGAGAAAAACTATCTTGAAGATGCCACTGATTCTTTTAAAGGGTGGTGTCATTATTCTAGAGTTATGTCCAAAAGCTGAGCCTGTTTTTCAAAAGGCACCAAAAGAGAAGAAGAAAATAATAATTGAAATTTATTTTTCTGACATTGGAGAAATGTATCTCTGCATTTAACCCATCCCCTTTGGGAGCAGTGGGCTGCCATTGTCTGGCACCCGGGGAGCAATCAGGGGTTAAGAGTTTTGCTCAGGAACCCAGAGCGCAGGCTGTGGGGATCATACGGTTACTTTCAACCTTCTCAGAGCACAATCGCACTGCATTTACTACTAGGCCAACACTCCCACTGAGGGTTTTTCTATGGTGGTGGTAGTGTCATGCTGTGGAGATTATTTCATCAGCAGTAACAGAAGCCAATTAGGTCTATGAATAGATGTATGGATGTAACTACAAGACAAACTCTAAGAAATCCTGTTAGAATTAAAGACAATAATATTCTAGTACAACAACTGTAAACCTAGAGCCAGAGCTAGAATGGTTTCAATACTTCTGCAAGGCAAGGTAAGGTACTTTAGGGCACCTGAGTCTCATTTGTTCTAACTTATAATACATATTGTTGCCTAGGAGACATGTTCCTCTTCTAATAGATCAATTAAGCTTGGGACCGATGGGTTTTATAAGAATTATTGGATAAATTTAGTCAGAAGTTAAAGGGATAGTGGAGTATTTTTGCAATAAAAAAAAAAACCTCTCCACTTGCACATGCACAACTCTTTACTCGTTCCCAAGAGGGAACACCTATTAAAAGCATGCGAGAGTATTCACTAGCCCATTTCTCCTCATGCACACTGTTTGCATCGCTCATGCAAGCTTACTTTCCTAAAGAAGAGTTGCAATTTCTCCACTATGTTAGACCGGGCGGTGAGTGAAATTGGGGACGAGCATATAGGACGGCCTTATATAAACACCTCACCAGAATGATTGACAATTAGGAGGACCACTTATTTTGATGAGCCACCCGGAAAAAGAACATACTCCACTATACCGTTAAGATGTACTCATCTAATCCTGGGATATTAATGATGCATCTCTAAGTACTTTTTCCGTGGTGAAATGATAAAGGAACTTACTTCCTTTTTTTTCTGGAATTCGTTCATTCTCACGAACATTTAACTCGGTTTTCCTTTGCGAGTTACTCTTCAATGACATGATTTTTGTTATCCACCATTAAGCCTTGGGGTGACTTCTTGACACACTTCTTAGTTTAAATGAGGTGTGAACCATTTCCCAGAATTGGAGCCAGGAACTGTTTGGTTTCTTGGTTGCAGCGTATAAACTTGATGTTAGCATATATCCTCTATTCCAAAACCCCTTCTGATCTCTATTCAGGTTAACATAGTGTGAAAGTCCTATATTAAATATAATGTGTTAGCTTGTTTAAGAAAACCCAGGAGCTATCAAAGCAGAAAATAAGGAAACATCATTATCCCCAGTGAAATAAGCTGTGCATGACTAAAACGTTTAGCTAGATTTAAAACAAAAAAAAGGAAAAAAAGTTATATGATTATAGAAGAAAATGACAAAGTGAAGGATTCAACCTTAGACATCATAGCGTCAGCTCATTTTGCTCCAAGTGGTGTTGGTACATAGTAAGAAAAAAGGATGGAACATGAAAAAAAGGAATAATTCTCAAATTTTCCCTCAGATCGACAGTTGGTTGAAGCTTGGAAATTATGAGCTTTTTAAAAAAGGACAATGATCCCACAAACACACCAGAGCTAATTATTTTTAAACGGCTAAGACAGGCCAGCATGAAGTTTGTTAAAGATTCTTCGCAATGCTTCAATTTCAATCTCTTGAATAAATCTAGACCGTGAAGCAAATTTGTTGCAGAAAAAAAAGTTTATATAAACGCTTCCATTTTTTTTTTATAATAACATTCATTCATCTGCAAGTCTGTCTGCAGCTTGTTGACTGCAGGGCAGAACGAATGGGCAAACTCAAGGAAAATTGTAATTCCATGGATGGCTCCATGATCAAATGACTGAAATTTAAAAATAAGTTAATAACTGATGCATCAAAGGTATGTTTGTTTATAAAACAAAAATGAATATTGCAGAAAATAAAGGGTTCAAGGGTCTTATTGTTTAGAATGCTTTATTAAAGATCTCAGAACACACAACATCATCTCTGATCACAGATTTACAATAATTGGCTTTACTCTCTGGATTTCAGATATAATTCGTTTGGTATATCAAAATGTCACTAAACTGAAAAGATTAAAAAAAAAGTATTTATAAATGACAGTGTGTTGCATGGATGAAGTCAATGAATTCTGAACACAGTGTTAAGGTAAGGAAATAACACTTTGGAAAAGCACCAATGGAATTCCACTTAGAAAAAAACTAAACAGAAATAAAAAGTGTTATGTGTCTTATGTTGCCATGTTACAGTATTGCACACGTTTCACAACTATATTTCCATGTAAGATTGTATAATAGGTATTAAAGGCACAAGGAATTTGTTGGGTTCACAGTGATTTCAACAAAAATCTTTCAGGCTTCGGTATTATGAGGTTAACTCAACAGGCTGGAGGTGGAGCTGCAACTTTTGTCTCTCTTCCCCATCTGGCCCTCTGTCCGCTGTGGCGGCAAAGGAAGGAAGAGCATTTCGTGGTCAGTTAGGCACGCATTGTAAGAGCAAGGAACTCCTCCCGAGTCTTGGGGTCCTCTAGATAAACTCCCAGCATGGTGCTCGTCACGGTGCGGCTGTTCATCTTCTGGACACCGCGCATCACCATGCACATGTGGCTGCAAAAAGAAAGAATGCAATTGGTCAGATTTCCCAGGCTGAGGTTAATGCAATTAAAGGGGACACTCACAGAATTGTCCACCCCTAAAAGCGAACCAGAAGAGCTTTATTGCCTGTGACAATACATTTTCATTTCCTGTCAATGGTTTTCTGTTGTACTCACGCTGCTTCTATAACCACAGCTACACCTCTTGGCTGCAGAGCTTCAGATATTCCAACAGCAATCTGCTTGGTCAGACGCTCTTGAACTGAAAGATAAGGAATTGAAGCATTAATTTCTTTTAAAGGTTTATGATGGTGCTGCCACCGTCTCAACAAAACATTCTCTTCACTGCTTGGCAACAAAAATATCTGAAATCGTTATGAAACCTCTTCTGTGCTTTAGTGGCAGAAGCCTCCATCAGTCTATTTTCTATTTTATTATTTTTTTTATCCAATTCAACTCTAATCCTTTATCACAGCTGCACGGGGTACTGCCTACCTTGAAGCCGTCGACTGAAGATCTCCACAATCCTACAGACAGCAAAGCAAAGAGGAGAGGGTTGATTACAGATCAGGTGTAATAATGATTAATCTTTTAGATAAACACAGACTGGCATCGATCCTTGACCAACAGGGCCTCCGAACTGTATAGATCCTTTATCTGTGAATGATTCACCATGCAGAATTCTCAGAATGAGACTAGCAAAAGCTCCATTGCAGTCATCCTAGGTTTGTGAGTTCTGATCTACTCTGATTTTTAAAGGGAGAAGATGGAAACAAAAGAGGCTGTGATAATAACTACGAATCCCACGCGTCTGAAAGGATTTTCTCATGGCTGGAAGCGGATAGCTTTCAGACTTTTGACTGTCATTCTGCTAGATGAAGAGACTAGATGATGGCCAGCGGGCTCAGACTCTAAGCCTCCAGGTCAAAGCACTAAGATAACAGAAGAATGCAGTCACCCGGCACTAACAGCAGTGACAGCAAGCGGTTATGATGAGCACTGTGTTACCTTGCCAGCTTGCTGAGTCCGACCACTTTTTTGTTTGGAATGTAGCCAATGTGAACCTGGAGAGAGGAGAAGAAGAGCAGAGGTCAGCGAAGGACCTAGCAGGTCTGTGGTGGGTTTTTTTTTGTTTCTTTTCCACCTATGCATGCAAAAAGAAACCTTACCTTTCCATAAAATGGCACTAGATGATGTTCGCACAGGGAAAACACATCTATGTCCTTCACAATCACCATCTCGTCGTGGTCCTCATCAAATATAGCATTGTTCAGGATGTCTGTAGGGCAATGGAAAAAAAATTCTAAGAAAATTGGAATAACACTAAAGGAAACATCAAGTTTGACTTGAAACTGTTTCTGGGCTAAGGGAGCCCTTTCTACATGGGCTGTCCCCAGAGCTTAGAAAGTCAAAGATTTCTTTTTGCCACTATCTACAAATAATTTCTATGGCTAAGGTCTGGCAGTGAACTAAAGAGCCATTTAACTGTTTTTTAAGGTATATCTAATATTTGATCAATTTAACTCCAAATTTTTATTAGTTGAAGTGATTTGGGCTTTTGATTCCTTAAATCCCTGTTGTAAATCTTTATTTATTTTTGGGGAAATGCAAAAAGGGCCCTCCTAATGCTTTTTCTGGCATTAGAGCGACTTTAGATTTTTTAAAAATCATAGGAAATCTGGTCATACTGTTCAAATGTAGACTGATTTTTAACTGAATTCATAATTCAAACAGAATTTTGACTTGGTATAAAATAACACAAGAAGGGGAACACTTTTCTAAAATCTCCTTTCTTTTCATCCTGATTAAACATTTTAAATCCACGCCAGGTAAAATAAGGTAGTAAATAAGGCAGTAATTACAACAACATATAAAAAAAGGAGGCTTAAATCTAAAAAAAACATGCCAAAGTTCAAAATGTAAAACAAAAAATGGTGAAAACATATTTGCATTATATATTTTCACATATTATATTCATCTTTGAAACACATGCAACAAATTAATTTAATATAATATAATGATGGCCTGCAAAAACAGGAGACAAATAGATACTGAAATCCTTCTGTATGATTTTTAACACAAATTTTGTTAAGAGGCAAAAATAAAAATGTTTTAAATAGTACAACTATTAAAAACTTTGAGGCCTGTCTCTTAGTTTAGATTAGGTGGGATCTGGGAGAAAAGGTGCAGTTTAACTTGCAGACCCTAAAAGCAATCATGAATTATTAATAGTTTGGATAAACTGATCAAAAACTAAAGAAAACACATTTGTAGCATCAGTTAGTTAGAAAATTATTTCCCAAATTAAGAATTTTCTTTTTTTACTTTTTTAACTTGTGAGCTTTTAATTTTAATGTCTTTTTATTTTGAATGCTGAAAGCATTCAATATGATTTAATGATATGCTCCTTCTGTAAAGGAAAGTTCCCAATTTCAAGAAGTGATTAAAGGGCCCCTGATGGTTTAGGGGCCCTTAGCAATGGCAATTAGAGTATTCTTTAATTGGTCGATTTGTTTCTAGTACTGTTTTATTATTATGGTTTTATAATCGTGTGAAACTCACCCTCGATGGTCTCATGGTAACCCTTGGTGAGGAACTGGATGGCCTTGGCGGCACGCAGCGGCGTGCGCAGCAGCCCCTCCCGGTCCGTGTCCTCCCCCAGGTGCCGCAGGATGCTGGTGTAGGCGGCCTCCAGCGCGGGCAGGCGGGACTGGTCCTCGGCCTCCTTGCGGGATGTCTCGTGCTTGCGGTGGACCGCGGCGGACTTCTTGGTGTCGATGATGCGGTCGCTGAAGCCGTTGTTGCAGTGGAACTCCTCCACCGCGGTTTCTCCAACTTTCCCGTTGCAGTGAGAGTTCATGTTGGCTTCCAGGTGTTTTTTTTTTTCAGTAAACAGGAGAAAGGGCAGAAGCTGAAGGGGCTGCTTGGCTGGGAGCGCTCTCTGTGCGCTCTGCTTTTATAAAGCCTGCAGGGAGCCTTTTGCAGGTTTGCAGCGTCAAACCTCAATCCCTCCCTCCTTCATCACAGAGACCGCAGCCCTTCCCCTCCTGTATTCGTGAGGCATCACTTGACACAGAATTCATTAGGCGTATCTCCAAGTAATTTGTTTTGGTTAAATTATGAGACTTTGCAAAAAAAAAAAAAAAAAAGTCTCTTAAAAATCTCTCAAGGCTCATGATACATTTTTTTCTGCTTCTTTTTTGGAAAGTTAAAGTGAAAATGCCTAGAGTCACAGTGAGAAGCACTCCTGACCAAAATCTCTTCTCTGTATATAATTTGAAATGGTTAACGAACTTATCTCTAAAAGACTTTTTAACAAAGAAACCAACCATCTTTTGAACATTCAGGTCTAGATTTAAAGATTTAGCGCTTTAATTATAAAGAGGTAAACACATGAATTCACCTTATGACCTTAAAGAGATCTTTAATGCACATTAAGTGCCTTACAAAAGTTTTGGACTCCCTTGAACTTTTCCACAATTGAGTCATTTCACAATTACACTGAGACTTTAATTGATTTGCTTGATTTCACCGACAAACGGGAGGTGCATTACTTATCTATTTTTACAGATTAAAATAAAAAATTATGACAGGTGTTTTTGGAAAAACAAAAAAAAAACAAAAACATCTAATTTAAATTGTTTCTTCTAAGCCAAACTGAAATCCAGATATCTAATAAATTGCTGTCCACCAGTTTCAGTTTTAATCTGGTTCTTTAGTAAGGCCATTAAATGTTTATTGAAATATCTTAGTGAACAAACAGATTCAAGAAAAACAGCCAAAACAATTCAGGTTATGGAAGTAATTGTGAAGAAATTGACAGTAATATCCTTTGCAATGTCCACCTTTGAACTTCCCACAGAGCTCTCTGAACATCAGTCATGTGAAATTGGAAAGATTCTGATTTAACAGCAAATCTACCAAGATATATCAATCAGGAAACTGCTAATTAAACTGAAACTAGAATGGTAGCAGGGAGCAACATGTGGAAAGGACACCGGTCAAATAGGTCAAACATTAAACTTCTTGGAGATCCTGCAAAACTAGCTTTGCACATCACTCTGAACACAGCAACCCCATGGTGAATCATAATGGTGGACGTGAATGATCAGTGTTTAAATGAAGTAGGACCCACTTATATCAGTTTTAGGCTGTGATTAATCTTGTCTTTACCTGGTTTTGCAATGAATAAAATAAAATATTCACACCACAAGCCCCATGTCATCATGTCTCAAAACCCTCAACCTGAAATAAAGAAAACCGTAGAAATTCTGTGCAAACACTTAGGAGAGAGTAGCAGTTCCATGTCAGAGAGTTAGCGAAACAGCCCCTGGCCCCAAAAACAGATTAAATAGTCAGAGGAATGACAGAAAACAAATTAGAGCGTTGAAAGTTGAAATGGAGTCTTTATAAATTGTTTCTTGATGCCTACATGTGGTTAAATTGATTTAGGGTTTATCAAATTGGCAAATCAAGTCTAAGTTTTAGAAAAGTAATAGGCAACAGAAGACAACCATAATAAACTAAACTAACCAAAGGAAATAATGTGCAAACCATAGTTTTTATATAGTAGATGTTGTTGCATTTTTTAAAACCATGCAATCATTCTCTAGGTGAGAATCTTGCATACTCCCATAATAACCAATAAATAGTTAATTTTGAGCTTTTTAAGAAAGATTAATTTTCATTTTCGAGGGTTCATTGATGATTCAAACAACGTCAATTAAGAATTTGAAGGGGTTAACACCTGAACGCCGGGCTAACCACTCTGCAATGGTTTCTGAATATGTGGGTAATCACTGTTACTGTTGTTCGCTAAAGTGTCAAATAATCTGTACTGAATCCTGTGCATAATAGCTGTTTTTAATGTTATTTTGCTTTGCAAGGCAGGTCTAATGAACTAATCTATTGAGTTTACAAGTCAGGAAGTTCGTAAATAATAAACAGCCTGTATTTATATAGAGCTTTTTCAAGTCAGAAAACTTGACCAAGGCTTTTTACACTACATTCAGTCATTCACCCATTCATGCACACCGTCACACACTGATGGTGGTGAGCTACATTGTAGCCACAGCTGCCATGGGGCGTACACTGGCACCACCAGGCCCTCTAACCACCATCAGTAGGCAATGCAGCTTTCAGTGTCTTCCCCAAAGACACAAAGACACTGAAAGCTGGAGCCTTGAACCATCAACCCTACGATTTCAGGGCAAACTATTAAGTTGATATTTAGTTGAGGTGGTGGAGGAGTGAAAATATCATGGTCTTCCTTCCTTAAACGTAAAAGACTGGACTAAAGATACAATTGTGAAGCTGTCTAAAAAGAGGGCATAGAGCTGATTCCCTCCGAAAGCTTAGGTTTGGTTTGAACCAACACATTACGAGTCCTTCTGCCATCATTTGTTTGGGTTGCAAGGTCAGAGCAAAGCGACTTCAGAATATTTAAAAAGCTGACAAAGAAGGCTGGTTACTTTCTATAGAAAAAAAGGATGATCACTTTCATGTGGATTGCTCTGCAACCTCTGAAAATGATAGATGTGGGATAGTTTTAAGGCTGTTTTATACGACTGGAACTGAACTTTTTACATTGCTGAGTGTTATTATTATTATTTTTACGTTTTTACAATAAAAAAAAAGAAAAGTATAATTTGTGTTTCTCCTCTGTCCTTTTTTTATCCGATACCCTTATAGGAAATTCAATCACCAAAAAAAAAAGTCTACTTAGGTGTGATTTGATTTTACTATAAATCCAGATGTTCTGTGATGACCTGGGAGGCTTGCTATCAAACTAAAGTGAATAAACGGTAATTATCTAAAGACCAAGAGACACAGCAGAAAACTCAGATGGAAAACTGTTAAGTAATTTAACAGAGGATTAGGTTATATTGTTAAACAATTTGTCAAGCTGTGATGTCTCACCAAAAATTTTCTAAATCCATCATATGCAAATGCATAAAGTAAGCCACCACCTGGTTAGGAGAGCATTATTTAGTGCAGCCAATCGGCTCATGTTACCTCAATAAGAGCTGTAAAATCCCTCAGATACAACCCTAAACTTACACTCCACATCCCATTGAACACAGCAATTCCACAGTAGACTGTGGTAGGGGCTGCATCATGCTGTGGGTATGCTTTCCTTCTGCATCTGCAGGGAAGCTGATTAGTGTTAATAGGGCAATGAGTGGATCTAACTTCTTCTAGGAAATCCTAGAAGAAAAGCTGTCAGAGGATTACATTCCAGACAATTACCATAAGGATAAGCAACTGCTATTGAGCCCTCAAGGCTTTTTCTAGTGTTAGAATTGCCTAGTCAGAGTACAGTTGAGAATCTGTGGCAAGCATTTAAAATAGACTGTGCTAAACATAGTTGGCAAAGTGGGTGGTTGCTGATTATTGATGTGGCAACCCTACAAGGCACAAACTCAAAAGGACTCAAAGCTGAGAGGAAGGTGGGAGGCGATAGAAAAGACTGACTCTGGAGGAAAGAGTCTTTTAAAATTTATCTAAGTAAAGAAACAAACTATCTGTAGATTTTCTTCCACATCACAAACACGCACTACTTTATGTTGGTCTATCAAATAAAAGTGAAATTTTGAGAGAATATATTGATACATCCTTAATTGCTTGATGTTTTTTTTGTTTTTTGTTTATTTTTAAAGATACTCTGACCAAGCTCTTCCTTACTTAAAGCAGAATTCACAGAAATAGTGCATGATATCTAAAAATCATTTGGGCTCCCATTTTAGTGTCAGGAATTCTCATAATAACAAATTATGTTATACCTAATCAATACTTACAAAAACGTTTACCTAAAAAAAAAACAGATAACTGTATTTTGAGGATGATTAAAAATTTCACTCCAATTTTGCTCATAATGCAAAAAAAAAATCTACATTGCAGCATTTTAAACTGAATAACTCTGGGTGAAGGGATTCAAAATCAAAAGATTGTGAAGATTATCCAGAAGAAACACAGACAGGTAAGTGGACAATACACTACTTTCTTATTTTAATTTTAGCTGTGATGTTTCTTATAAAATTATCAACATCTTAGACTTATGAAATGACAGTCATCATAACAGCTTTATGAAAGACACTGTTGTCGTGGTGCATCACTAGAAATCATACATTATTCAAATAATCATACCATTCTCCATGGCTAACCCAGAGTTTTTATGCAACAGTTCAGTAAACAATAGAGAGAGTGGCCTATTTTTCCTGTCGACATGTCTGAAATTTTAACGTGCTGTATCTAATGGCATTACTAAGTTGATCAGCCTGTTCTCCACAAACACTATGGGAAAAGTGCACATTTTCTCATTCACACGTGGTATCATACCTCAGTTTTTTTTATTTTGAAAGCAGCAAACGAGACATAAACGCTACAGAGAGGAAATAAAAAACATGCTGTGACGTTAGTATTTGTTTTACTTCACGCTCCAGAATCTTCCCTGTTAAAGATGTCTACAAGTTTTTTAAATAAATATATCTTTTATAGCAGTTTTATAATCTCACACTGAAAATTTATGACTGCATTGAAAATTTGATCATATTTGTTTTGATAGTTCCATAGTATAAAATAATTGATTGCAAATAAAATCAAAGTTGCTATAATTATCAGCCCCACTGAAAACCCCTATGAAATGAATTTCACTTAATTTTACAGTAACAAGGAACTTTTATTTAGCAATCCATGACGTTTTGTTTCCATGGGTTATAAATGATACAGATGCCCTGATTGCTTAGTTACTCTATGAAATACAAAAGAAAATATACTAAGGATGTGGGACAAGTTGTGATGCTTTGGGTCTTTCTCTCCATAAAAAGCCATAATTTCCAAATATTTGCTTATTTCTCTCATCATATCTTTCAAAATATCTTTAAATTTTCCTCTACTATGTTAAGAAAGATGCTTCAGCATCCTGATGTAATCTGCAGCAGTAT